GAGTAAGAATACAGAAGATAGGTACAATTAAATGGGGACAATAGGACAGGGACAGGAGGCACGATGGTCCACTTATGCACGCCCCTTACAGACCTCTTAGGAATGGGGTGAGGTCAATTAAATTTGAATTATCTATTGAAGCAGATGCTTGGATCAAATCGAGAAATATATTAAGTATCTACTGTACTGCAAGGTTTACATTGGCTCCTTTGGCCATATATTAACTGGTATGATCCACCTGTAGCTCTGACGTCAATTAAAACGTGAACTCTGTCCTCAGCCTAGTGATCTAAAGGACGCTAATTTAAGGGGCGAAGCATTTCCTTGTAGGATTAGCAAGGAGACACTGCAGCTATGAAAAGCTTTGTATTTGTCGGTGTTCTGTGGCTCGCCCTTGGTAAGTGGCAACCTTTTCTGGAAATCCTGTTTAATATCCCCTACTTCATTTATAAAAACTAAACTAAAACTGTATTATTAGCCCAATGATTCAATATAGAGCGATCCATCTCCGACTAGCCATTGATCTACATTGGGCGGACATCATGATCCCTAATTGTCAATAATGTTGAACTGATCCTGTTTCATCTTGCTTCTTTCATCAGCATTATGGCTGAACCAGGATCACTTGTTAGATAACAATGGAAAATAGAAGTCAAGGCTTGTGCTTGGTTTCTGATTTGGGAGTGGCAAAACCAAGATCTTGGTAGGCACAACCAGTGGCAAACAGACATAGACAGGGCTTTCCAGATAGTTTAAACCATGGATGGATCAAGTTTTTGACAGTTCAGAAGTTTAAAGTTATTTTCTCGGAAGCCAGAGCCTATGGAGACTGATTGAGAAATCATCTAACTGCCTATGATTAGATTTTTTGAATTTTCTTTCCAGGATTTCATGATGTCGGAGATTTCTTGTAAACTGTTTTTCACAAGCAGAGCCTAAATCTGTGTAGGAGGGAAAAGGGAAAATTGTCTCTGTGCTATTTGGAAGTTTATTCCTGAATTTTGATGGCACAATCTTCAGGAATTCTAAAAAGGAGGCTGCAGGAAGCTCATGGTCCACCCCTGTTTTCTGTACTCACAGTAGTGGAAAAAAACTATGGGAATAACAACTAATTGAATATAGATTCTTGAACATGACAAACCAACTGTCTTTAGTTTGACTTAGTGTTACTTTAAAAAACTGATTCTCTTATTTTTCAAAGAAAGGCTTCAATCCAAACCAATCTTTCCCTTAGGAAAATACTTTCCAGAACAAGAAAAACATCCTTTTCCTCATTTAAAGAATCCAAAACAATGGAAAGGGCATCTTTCGATCCAACCTGAACTAAACTTAGCTTTTTGACTAAGGTCAAGTGTAGATCTTTTCCAGCTTAGCATTGTTAAAATTCTAATTTTTGCTCAAATATTTTTGCTTGCTCAACAATTTATCTAAGTCACAATATGTTTTAATCCCACAATAGCTGATGGACCAGATGCTTTCTTACATTTGATGGTGTTGGGGTTGGGGTGGGGTATAGCTCCATTTTAAAAACATTTTTCACAACAGCAAAAGCTGTAACAAAGCAAAGCAAAAGGTTTTAGCTTAGAAGATTTTTATTACTTGTCAGAGTAAGATAAGATGATTTTGAAGTAATTGAAATCTATTGTAATTGAAATCTACTGGTAATTGCTTTTCAATAGTTCAACATTGAGGGTGGGGGGATATTTTTCAAACTTTTATATGAATTTGCCCAGTCCTGGAAAAAAATCTGTTGTTTTAATCATATATGTAATTCTAGTGTTGCATATACAGCTTTCTTGAGACTATCAAAATTTCTAACTAAATAATACCATAGCTAATGTCCCCTTTCCTAAGACGTATTAAATCTCTTGAAAATATTCAAAGTACAACTAAGGTATCTCATAATAAGCCACTTTGCAAGTGATATCATTGGTTGTCTAGTAATACTTTATTAGATGTTGTAATTCATAATTTGATAATCTGTACAATGTTATATCAACACTTTGTATACCAAAACTCTTATCCTGGCCATTTTCAACACAATAATTTTCCACCAAGACATTAATAAATATGGCAGAAAATAAACATAAACATGAGTTTGGATTAAGTGATTTTAATGGCTCTATTCTGTTAAATAGCAACTACAAAATATATGAGTATTAGTTATCCATAAAATATATTTAAATTACAAATTGGTTTTAGTTCTTTACGTATTCAAATTTATATCTGTCGCCATTTGCAGCTGTCTGCTAGTAAACCATAGCCATACAATACAATGACAAAAAAATATGCTAGAAATACATAATATGACATTAAAATTCATAAAATGAAATCAAGTAATATGCCAATAATGGGGATCTTGGGGTAAGTATGGCAACCTGAAGAAATTTTTCTGAGAATATTTTTTTCCTACTGGATTTACAAATGAGGCTTATTAAAACCTCAAAGAACCCCGTGTGATTGAATAGAGAAGAAATGAAAAGAAATCAAGTCTTACGGCAATATTTGAATGATCTAAAGATTAAGAACATTAGAAGAAAAAGGAAGGTTTATAAAATTGGGTTATTTGATCAGTGTTAAAATAAGTATGTTGTTGCTTCTGGCTACCCATTTTGGATTTTCTGTTGACATAAAGATGAAAAAGATGAGGTTTTATGGATTTGTTCATAGATAAGAGATGGAATATGGGATAAACAGATGTTTATAAACTTTAAGGTGGTGAAGAGTCACTGAATTTATTTATTTTATCTATTGTTATAAAGGTTTGAAGTCAGTGCTTTACATATTTCTTCTTTTTCTTTCTTGGGGAAGCCAGATTCACTTAACAACCATATTATTCACTTAACAAATACAACAGTTCACTTAACAACTGTGACAAAAAAGGTCGTAAAATGGGGCAAAGCTAATTATTCTTAATTGGCACTAAGCAACGTGGTTGTTAAGTGGGTCACACCCAATTTTATGACTTTTTTCCCCAAGGCCTTTAAAAAAACCAGAGTTGGTCAGTGAATCTGGCTTGCCCCATTGAGTTTGCTTACGGGAAGTCAGCTAGGAAAGTCATAAAAATTTATCAAGGGACCTGGGATGCTGCAACTGTCATAAATATATCTCAATTGCTAAGCACTTGAATCACAATCACATGGCCTTGGGCACTGTAATTGTTATAGGTGTGAAGGTTGGTCAAAAGTCATTTTTTTTCAATGCCATTGCAACTTTGCATTGTCATAAATAAATGGTTGTAAATCAAGAACTAGCTATACACAAAAGCAGCCATATCATAGGCTGAAGTTGCTAATGTTGATTTTAATACATTTAGGTAGTATAGATACTGCAGCCTAAATCTGTTTCCCTGACAATTTCCAGAATTCTCAGCAGTGAATTTTCAGCGATTTGGTTAAGTTTTGGACTATTATGTTTATTTGAAAGAAGACAATCTTGTTTTTAAATTATCCCCTTAATAAAAGACTATTGTAGTCGGAAATAAATCAATAAACACAGATGCAGCTACAATATTCAGCTTTCACATTAAAATTTAGATGGCCAACTTTAGCTGAAATCAATGTCAATAAGTTCCCACTCCAATAAATAGGTGATATAGCTTTACATATGTATATCCAATGTATATTCTAGCCAGAAAAAAGAGGCAGGGGCCAGACAAAAAACAAATCTATATTGATTATAATTAATTAAAACAATCGCCTGTGAAATTACACCCTCCGTTTTCAAAATTAATCAATTCCTATCCACATGCAGCGATCATTCTCTTTTTCATAAACAAGATTTCAGTCACATATGGGCACATCCTACTATACATGTTTTCATCCTACTTTTCGGCTAAGGCAGAAAATTAACCAAGATGGAACCTACAGGAAATGAAAGAGCTACTCAGAGAAGGGAAAGAAAGAGAAGCAAAGAGGAAGCAAAACCCAGAGGAGATGAGACAGCAACCAGAGATAACTGAACAAAGAAAGACAATTATGTTTTGGTGTTATAAAAGAGTTAAATTCACTGCCCCCCTTCTTAAGCAACAGCTAATTTTTAGGTTAAATTTCAAAAACACAGTCTTTTTGCCGCCATTTGCAAGGAGATCAAAATAGTAAATCCTAAAGGAAGTCAACCCTGATTCAGGGGTGGGATTCAAATTTTTTAACAACCGGTTCTGTGGGTGTGGCTTTGTTGGTAGGTGTGGCTTGGTGGTCATGTGACTGGGTGGATGTGGCTTGGTGGTCATGTTATTGGCTGGGCATGGCCAACTCAATATCATTTACATTGAGACACGCATCTCTTTGCCTGGCATCTCATGACTGTGGGGATGCTGCAACAGTCATAAGTGTGAAAAATGGTCATAAGTCACTATTTTCAGTGCCATTGTAACTTTGAATGGTCACTCCACACAAGCAAAGTACCAGCAAAGGAGGGGGAAAAAACTCCAGAGAAGTTCCTGAGACAGGAAGTCAAAAGGAAGTCCTGCCAAAAATGTAATAAGGGTTAATGGAGAGGCAGTTTCTGTCAGCAACACCAGAATGTTTCCTTCCTGCCTTCCTTACAGGATTAGGCCAGTAATTTCTTCTAACAACCGGTTCTCCGAACTGCTTAGAATGTTAACAACCGGTTCTAGCGAATAGGTGTGAACTGGTAGAATCCCACCCCTGCCCTGGTTGCTCTTTGTAAGGACAGATATACCGAAGCTGAAGCTGAAATACTTTGGCCAACTTAATGAGTGGAGAGGACTCCTTGGAAAAGACCCTGATGTTGGGAAAGATGGAAAGTGAAAGGAAAAAGGGACAGCAGAGAATGAGATGGTTAGATAGTGTCATCAATGCAATGAACATGAATTTGGGCATGTCCAGGACGGGGTCACAAAGAGTTGGATACGACTTAGCGACTGAACAACAACAGTACTTCTTATTCATTTCTTTGTTTTCAACACTCTTTTTATCAGAAGTATATCTATACCTTATCTTTTCTTATCAGGGTATGTAAGGCCATCCTCCCAAACCATGATTGACTATTTAGCGAACAGTACTGGTGCTGGTAAGTAAGATTTAATTGTCTGGGGCCTGCATAATTTTGTTGCCTACTGAATGAATCTACTAGCTATAAAATTGCTTCACCTCTCCTTCCCCAAAAGCATTCATTTTCAAATAGATTTGCATAATTCAGGGGGGATTCCGAAAAATGTGTAAGTGCACTTGTTCTCCCTTCTGAGAATTGACTTTTTTATTATCATGTTTAAGAGACTTTAACATAGACTGCCATGTTTTTAGTCAAGGCATGTGAATTCTTCTTCTGACAACTGAAGAAGTATAACTCAAAGTTTGGATATGTTATTTGAAGTTAGAACTAGACTTAGTATGAACACAATGTGCAGGTTTTATGTGAGAGAACAGCAAAGGATTTTTAAAAAGCCCCCAGCATCTTCTTTATTTTCCAAAATTTGCTTGCAACTTTAAAAGAATAAAATCATTGCACACCACTTTGGTTGTTAGTTTGCCAAGTTCTTTAGAGGACAAAAATGTAAAATGAAGTCATAGAGCATATCTCTGGGGTTAATAGAGAGAGAGGCGGAGTGAAAGTAGGAGGCAGGAATAAAGAGGAAATAAAATGAAAGAAGTAAAATAAGTAGCAAAAGCCAGCATGCAGACATGATGGTTGCTTAAGCAAAGCTAAACTGAAACTTTTAGTTCTTGCTATCCAGGAGAAGATCTACTGGTTCTCCTGTTCAGCAGAGTCAGTACAAGGCCTGAGCGAACCAACTTGATCAGGCAGATGATGATGAACCTTATTAATACATTTATTTTAATTTTGTTTTTCCTTTAGAATCCTGTCCTGATAAGAAGTCTACCTATGGTGCTACATGTCTCAAGCTCTACAGCCAGGTTATCTACCAGTGTCCTTATGGGTTCTACTATAATAATTTCACTTGTAGGCTAGGTGAGTAGTGGTCATAAGTTTGATTTTAAATGTTAAAAACTGTCATAAGTCACTTTTTTTCAGCGCCATTATAATTTTGAACGGTCACTAAACAAAATGTTGTAAGTCAAGGATTACTGATGTAGGATTAGCATATAAAATCCTAGAAAGTTAATAAGCCAAAATTATAATCTTTATTAGTAAAATCATTAGGAATATCAGGAAGCTTGCTTTCAGAATGGTAGGCCAAGAATGAAATACTACCCTGTTTCCCTGAAAATAAGATAGCCCTAGTCTGGTTGTTCATGGTGCCATGGCTTTGAGGCGAAGCAAGGTGATGGTGGAGCTGTCCCATACGCCCACACTGACTTACCTCAGGACTCCCACAGCCAGGCCACCAATGCCCTGACATGTGCCTCATGGCGGCAACACCAACAGCCATGTGCAGCAGGAGCCCACATAGCTGCTGGCCCATTTCTTCTGCTTGCTTATGGCTTCAATGGAGTAGGAGGTCAAGTGGTGTGTTGGTGCTGCAGCCGCAAAGTGAGGCAGGAATCAGGGTGTGGATGGCCTGGCTGTGGGGGCCCTGAGGTAAGCCAGTGCAGGGCACATGGGGCAGGTCCACCTCCCCACGTCTTGGTGGCAGTACAGACACATCATGCTGCCTCCTGCCCTGCCATGAGTAAACAGAAGAAGTGGACATGGAAAAAATATATTACATCCCCTGAAAATAAGCCCTAGTGCTTATTTTCCAGCCCAAAAGAAAATAAGATCTGGTCTTATTTTCAGGGAAAGATGACCTGGAATATCCATCTGCCCATCATTAATAATATTTTGAAATGTTTCCTATTTCTTTCCTAGCCCCAGAGGTCTCGTTTATACTTTGGGATAAAATTCAACTTGAGTCAAGGCCAATGGAAGCCTTTTTGATGGAGGAGATACCTAGCCCTAATCAGTCAACAATAAACCCCAACCCTAACTCCTAACCCTAATCTTTCAGCAGTAAACTCTAACCCCCACACTAGTTCCTAACCCGAATAAGACAGCAATAAGGGCTGTAAGAACACAGGCCGACTCTAAGAGACAGATTTCTTTGATTATGTATGTGAGCCCATGACAAAATAGTCCTTCATATTACCATCAAAGCTGAATTCTTCATTAAGATTCCATATAACTGAGTCATTCAAAATGTATTGACTATCACAGGGGTCCCCAAATCCTGTCCATGAGCCTGTACTGGGCCACGACCCGGGCCACGACCTGTTGGGAACCGGACGCACAAGCAGCAGGCAAAAGTGCATTTGTGCAAGTAGTATTCACTCAAAACCATCATTCACCAACAGAAAGTCCAGGCAAGAGTCCTGCAAGAAGTTAACTGAAACTGTAGTCCTTATCAGCTCATTTGATAAATGCAAGGCCATTAGGTCCCAGTCAGGAGGCTGCAAATTAAGTCAGTTCAAACAGAGAAATAGACAAACCTCCGTTCTGGCAAGGCAATCTTTGTCGCATGAAACACACAAGGAACAAACTTTCCAGAAATGTGAATAGTTGTCTGTGACAACCAAACTAGTCCGCTTTCCTTTCCTCCCCAGCCAGGGAGGAGCCATTCAGCATCCACATTTGTTTTGCTTCCAGAGCCAGCTCACTGTCTTATGTTGTTCACCTCTCCTATCTGCTCTGCACATACGCGCATCTGGAATAGGCCCCAGCTGTTCCTCCTCCTCACTCATCTCTGACTCCAAAGGCAGCTGCCTCTCTGGCTGCAGAATGCCCGACAACCCTGGCTCTATCTCTGTGTCCATTGCTGAGCATCAATCAGAGCCTTCCCCAGGCTCCAGAACTGGCTCAAGTTCTTCCCCAACCTCCTCATCATCTGAGTCTGCCACCAGCTCTCCTGGCAGTTGGTGGGCTACAACACATCCCCTCTTCCCACCTCCTGCCCTCCTTTGCCCCATCACTGCCACGACCAGTCCACAGAGGTGGAAAGGTTGGGGACCACTAGACTATCACATCTGGCATAAAGTGCCACACCCCATAGTTAACAGCCTTGTTTTCAGACTGTTGAGAGTGATTCAACTGGTCATTTTAAACAGTAAGAAAGCCTGGATTGGGTAGGTCTTGCTGCAAAGAAGGAATCACTCTGCCTGATGGCCAAGGAATGTCAGTGTGTCTTTTGGATGACATCTACTGTAAACCATAGAATAACTTCATTTAAAAAAAACCCTGAAAATATGTCTTTAATTCAGGTTTGACCTATTGTGGTTTTATTTGTAAATCCTAATTCGAACTCCAGCAACACAATGCTTTTTCTAGGGAATCCTGGAAGATCTGAATGGGTACATTTTGCTGTTTTCCATTTCTTGTCTACTGCTGGGAAAAACAAAGCATATGGTTATATAATGATTTTTTTTTTTACTTTTAACATCTGATTGTCCTGATATTGTATAACTATCTGTGATTCCTACTGTAATTTCAGGGAAAGTATTCCCAGGAGAGATGATTCTGGGTACCCCTTTTACTAAGTCTATGGAAAACCAAACAAGTGAAAATTATCAAAACTTATATGATAATCTCACAACTTTTGTAAGTTTACTTTTTTCTGACTTCTCTTTTACTCTCAAAATAGATGCAGATACAGTGTATGTGTGTGTGTATACATACCTCTCTCTCTCTCTCTCGTACCCATTCATAACTACCTCCAAATAATACAGAGAAAAAAATGTTCTGATTATGGTGTTCGTCATACTCATTACACCCAGAATTTCTATTTTAATATCTTCATTGATTGAAATTTAACTTTCCAATGATATTAAATATTTGAGATCCCATATCATCAAAGTTTATTTAATGCATATAACATTCAAAAAACTAATATAAAAATTACTATAATATTAAAAATAATACATGTATTAAATCTGTAAAGTAATAATACATTTCTGTGCAATATAAATAATTTTCAAACATTTTAGTATGCAGTTAAAGCAAGCAATTATCTAGAACAAGAAATGGATTGATCTAAGTGGAAAAGAAAACCTGCAGAAATATTACTTCTTGCAGGATGCCAGAGAATCGAAACCTGGTATAAAAATTATTCAGAAGAGGACCAATTCAGAGCTTTATGAAAATGCCTCCATGTCTGTCTGTCTGTCTGTCCCTTATCTTTATATCTATCTATCATCTATGTATGCATCTATCTATCTATCTATCTATCTATCTATCTATCTATCTATCTATCATCTATCTATCTATCTATCTATCTATCTATTCTCTTTCTCTCTCAATATCCATCTATCTCTATCTATCTATTCACATATTTAGTTGGAATCATTTTAAAATGGATTATTGTTTTAGATCAATTGTTTAATATCTTGGAATAATCCAGTTTTGCCCAGACTAAATTCTAGTGTTATGCAGACAACCTCTTACAGGTAGTCCTTGATTTATGACCACAATTGAGCCAAAAATTTAAGTTGCTAAGTGAAACATCTGTTAATGGAGTTTTGCCCCATTTTATGACCTTTCTTGCCATAGTTGTTAACTGAATCTGGCTTCCCCATTGATTTTGTTGGTCAGAAGGTTGCAAAAGATGATCTCATGACCATGGGACACTACAACTGTCATAAATATGAGTCAGTTGCCCAACTTCTGAATTTTGATCAGGTGACCAAGGGGATGCTGTAACTGTCACTGCTGTAAGTGTGAAAAACGGCCATAAGTCACATTTTTCAGTACTGTTGTAACTTTGTAACTGTTTAAGTTGAGAATTGCTTTTATTAGCTTTGGCCTCTATGATTTCTCTCTCCTGTCCTTCTTTGGAAGAATTGCAAAGGCAATCTGAAGAATCTTATGTCCAAATCTTAGACTATGATTACTCTTAAATATGGATAGTGGAACGAAACTAGTTGCCCAAGTCATAGTTTGAACTTAGGTCCACTAATCCTAGTTTGGCTAGATTTGGACATCATGAGAAGCTGTGGCTGGACTACAACAGAGCAAAACTCCTCTCTAGAGTGAAACGTTTCCTCTTAATGTTAAACCGTGTTTTAGTTTAAGAGATGAATCCAAACTCATACCCATGTTTATACACATCTCCTTTGTTAAACTACTGTAATTCACCTTTGGATCTCTATCTGTTGAGGTATTCCCGTCCCCATTCATTTTTTTAAAAAAAATTCCCAATTCTCAGCTTGATTCTTACTTGCGTTTGTATTAAACTTTTGCAGTTTGACAAGACATTTGAAAATCAAGATTTTCGGAGCATAAACATTCTTAGCGTGAAGTAAGTGTGATGGCTTTGTTGACATGTATACCGTATACATTTTGATATATGGTATGATTATATGTGTATGTGTATGTGTGTGTGTACACGAAAAGAGCACCAGGTCTTATTTTCAGGATGTGGGGAATGTCATCCACTGACTCACCTCGCTTGCGTGCATCAGGAACTTCTTCAGCTTCAGATAGCTGCAGCCAAGTCTCGCACACCACAGCCTATTTCTTCTGCAGCCAGCAAGGCTTTCCTGAAGGCCTCTGTAGCCAATTATCAGCTTGAGGCCTTCATGAAAGCCTTGCTGGCTGCAGAAGAAATGGGCTGAGGTGTGTGAGGCCTGGTTGCAGCTATGCGAAGTTAAGTAGCAGGGCTGCTCCACCACCACTCCATCCCCACCCTAGCTTAATTTTTATTCATGGACCCTGGAGTGGGTGGGGTCTTAATTGGGGCTTATTTTGGGGTAGGGCTTATTTTGGGCATACATGTAAAAAATCAAGCTAGGACTTATTTTCTGAGTTGGTCGGGGAAACACGGTGTGTCTGTATATGTGTGTGTGTACATACACACACACACATTTATATACACAAACATTAGAAGTGATATTCAGCAGGTCTGGAGCAGTTCTAGAGAACTGGTAGCGGAAATTTTGAGTAGTTTGGAGAACCAGCAAATCCCATCTCTGACTGGAGATTTTACAGTATCCTTCACCTGCCATGCCCACCAAGCCACACCCACAGAAACCGTAGTAAAAAAAATTGAATCCCACCACTGACACACATATACATATATACGTACATACAGGAGTGGGATTCTACTGGTTCCCTCTGGTTCTATAGAACCGGATGTTATGATTCTGTTCAGTTTGGAGAACCGGCAAATCGTGCCCCTGGCTGGCCCCACCCCTTCCCTTCCCGGCCGCTTGTCTCTGATGAGGCGGAAGATAAGTTGCTGGAGCTGCCGGGCTTTAAGCCTGGAGCAAGAATCCCTTTCTTTTCCCCGCTCCCCACCCCTATCCTATTTGAAAGACATTGAGTTTTGTGTTGCTGACGGTGTCCTCCATGTTTCCCAAATGAGATAGATCGAGTGGGAAGTGGCTGGTGTGTGCGCGTGTGAATTTAATCCTCCTTCTGGAGGGGAAGCCCAGAGCGCTGCCGGGTCGCCTCCTCCAAGCAGCGCGCCCGCCGGGCTTCCCCTCTGCCGCGTGGCTGGGGGCCAGGTGTGAGCGCCTGCGAGGAAAAAGGAAGCTGAAAGTTGCTGGGAAGTTGCTCGGGTTTCTACAGCTTCCAGGCTTAAACTTTGCACAGGCAAAGTTTGCAGGCGGGAGCATCTTCCCGCCGAGGAGCAGGAAGGGTTCTGCCCAGAGGGTGGGCGGGCTGCTTGGAGGAGGCGACCCGGCGGCGCTCCGGGTTTCCCCTCCGCTGCACGGCTCGGGGCCAGGCGCGAGCGCCCGAGAGGAAAAAGGACGCCGCAAGTTGCTGGGAAGTTGCTCGGGTGCTGGGAGCCGCGGTCGTGGTGAGCAGCTCGTCGGACACGTACGTGAGGAGGAGGGCTTTTAAAGTGCCGCCCGAGCAGGACCGCCAAGCCGGGAAATGGGGCACCAAGGCAGGGCAAGGCTCCACCAGCAGCGGCCTAGCTTTAGGTGGCTCCAAGCAGCCCGCTCCAAGCAGCTCACCCACCCGCCAGGCGGAACCCTTCCCACTCCTTGGCGGGAAGACGCTCCCACCTGCAAACTTTGCCTTTGCAAAGTTTAAGCCTGGAAGCTCCGGGAAAAAAAGGGGGATCAGCAGGGACTCACCTTCGGAGAGGTCACACTCGAAGGTGATTTCGAACTCCCAGCCAAGGCCTTTGCAAAGTTCTTTTCTTTCCTACCCCGAGAGCGCTCCGCACTGTTTTGCAGCTTTGGGGGCCACGCGGCGCAGGGTGATTTTTTTTCAGAGGCGGGCCGGATTGGACAGACCAACGGGCCGGATGTGGCCCATGGGCCATAGTTTGCCCACCCCTGCATTATTCAAAGCTATGAGAACTTGAATGGTCACTGAATGAGTGGTCGATAAGCGAGGATTACCTGTAAAAGATCTCTGTGAAGAGTTGCAGCCTGCCATTTTTCAGGATGGTCCTTCCAATCCTTATTTCTGCTTCCAAAGCTCCAACCAGTTTGTATTCTGAGCGAGCATCCCAAGTCTTTATGAGTCTTGATTTGGAAGCCTCCCTTCAGTTATATTTTATAAATACATTTTTTTTAAAAAAAATGTATATCTGTGTTGCCTTGGCTATTTGCATAAAGCACCATTTTTTTCTACTCAGAAAGCTCAGGCTTAGGTGTTCCATCATTGGAAAGACTTTGAAGAAGGGACTGTGGACAGCCACTTGTCTGAAATGGTATAGGGCCGTGATGGCGAACCTATGGCACGCGTGCCAAGGCGGCACACAGAGCCATTTGTGCTGGCATGCGAGATGCCAGCAAACTTACCTCATTGCGCATGTGCACGCCTCACGGCTGATTTTCAGCCCGTTTGACGCCTTTTTCAGCCGCCCAAAGGCTTGAGGAAGGCTTCTGTCGGTTTCTACAAGCTTTGTAGGCCGAAATCTAGTGACAAAACAGAGCTAGATTTCGGCCTACAAAGCTTGTAGAAGCCTGAAGAAACCTTCCTAAGCCTTTGGGAAGCCGAAAAGCGCCTCAAACAGGCCGAAAATCAGTTGTGAGGTGCAGTACAGGTAAGGGGGCTGCGAGGGTGGGTGGGTAGGATTGTGTGCGAATATGTAGGGGATGTGGGGGGGGGGGCACATTGCCTTCTGGGTCCCGGCACACAAGTGCAGGCGTGCAAGCGTGCACACAATTTTTGGCACAGGAGCCCCAAAAGATTAGCCACCACTGATATAGGATCTCCAGCTTGAGCAGGGGGTTGGACTAGAACAGGACATATGTCCTACATTTGTATATTAAACACTCCCATTCAAGTCAAAAATTGATTTCCCCCACAACTGAAAAACCAGTAGGCCAGGGTTGGGGAAGCTTTTATGGCTCACTCAGGAATTCTGGGAGTTGAAGTCCATAAGTCCATAAGTGTTAAAAGAGCCAAGTTTCCCTACCCCTGGACTAGAAGACCTCCAAGGTTATTCTGTATCTGTTCCATCTTTATATCCCTTTGCAACTCAGCTCTTTCTGGTTGGGTATCAAAGTTTGCAGATTTTCTTTGTAATGGCTGCTTTGGTTTTAACCATAATAAACTTGAAAGTTTTAGTGAACTTAAAATACTGGAATTAATAGCCACCTTTCTTAACATACCTTTCTTAACATTTGTGAAATTACTCTTTCAGATTATCTCAAGGAATTTCTCAAAGGGTGAATAAGGCAGGAAACGAAACTAATACTACAGTTACACTCATCGCTGCATTTGATGAAAAGGCACATATGACAATTCAGAAATTGGAAGAGTCTGTAAATAATTCTTCTTTTAAGGATGACTTCAGTGAAGTATCATTTACACGTATGTATATATTAAAAAGGTTGATTCAATCCTGTCATTTTAAAACTACTAGAGATTCCGCAAGGTGCTGACTCCAAATGTGTGGGATTACACATGTCACATGGCTGATATGTCAACCAACCAGTCACAGATACTTTACTTTGAAGAGAGTTGTTCTGATCAATTGGACTATCGCTTGGTTCATATGCCCCAAGGAAGAGGGGAGTCAACCTATTCTCCAAAGCATTCGAAGGCAGGACAAGAAGCAATTAATCAAAGAACCAACCTAGAACTAAGGAGAAATTTCCTGACAACTATTAATCAGTGGAATGGTTTTCCTTTAGAAGTTCTGGTTTAGCAAGGGGTTGGATTAGAAGACCTCCTTCCTTTCCAATTTTGTTATTCTATTATACACTGGATTAGGCCATGATTTTAACAACTATATCACATATACAATCAATGGGCTGCACCTATACATCTTCAGATGACTTAGCACAACTTAGCTTGGAATCATCTAAGTTCAATTCTTTTATCTACTAGGTAGGGCAATGAAAAGCAGTAGTCAGCTGACACAACTCCTTTACTCTTTTTTCAAATTCAAAGGTTGCGTCACACATCAAGCTAAGCCACAACTATGACTTATATATTTTTGGTTTTGCATGAAGTGTGAATCCAGGTCATTGTGGTCAGTAAATTATGGCAACATATATACCAAGCTATGCTCAACGAAACATTAGCTAAACAATGACATCTTAATGTGATGCATATTGTCATGCCCCTGTTAGAATCTGACTCCGAGGGAGAGGAAGAACAACCGACAGGGAGTGGGTGTGTGGTTCCAGAGGTTGTGGACAAAACTGGGGAAGGGCACAGGTTGGCTGGGCATTCAGAAGAAGACCCAGGCCACCCCTTCTTCATCCTAGGGCATGCAGGGAGGAGCGGATCAGGGAGAAACATGAATGGCATGGTCTATGGGGGAGGAAAGGGCCTTGATCCTCTTCTTGGGCTGCAGCTGTTTAAAAGGACAAACTGTGCATGGGCCAGTGCTGGAAGCAAAGCGTGAAAATATTTGTAGTCTGTCCATTCTTATCTGAGTTCTGGCATCCTTCCCAGTGATGTTTTGATATCTGTGGACGTCTTCAAGCCCTTATCCTGCCTTGTCTCCTTAATTGCTTCAGTGTGGTATGTGTTGTTTTTTCTATTTATAATTTATATGTATTTTGAGCTTGAACGGAGGTTCTTCCTTTTGTGCAACTATTTGTGGGGGAGTTTTTTCTCCAGTCAATGATAATTGGACCTTTCAAGCCAAGCTGAAGGAATTAAAGGGACTTTGCTGGTTTTTGTGACTTTGTTGCTTTTGTATCCCACCTTGGGTCATCACATATATCATCACATATATCATCACATATATCCTATTGAGTGAGAGTGATGCAGATTAGGTTTTTTAGATGTTGCACATTGCTGCATTTCCTGATTCTTGCTTAAAACAGGTAGCAGATGTAACTGAATTGTTGTTCAAGTGCAGGCAGGCAAGAGTCAGAGGTCAATTGGTATAATTATTAATGAAATATGAAATAGTCACCAGATTAGGTAGATATCGTGTCTAGAAAGGAGGCAATAAACTTCCACAGCTACATGTCTATAGCAATTCTCAGTCATCCAGATCATGGTTGTCCCAAAGATGCTTTTTTCAAGAGGCAAATAGACTTTATTGTAGACATCCCAGTTTCATCCAATAAGCTTCTTCAGTTCTGACCTGGTGGGGAATGGAAGCAGAGGTGGTATTCATCAGGTTCTGACCGGTTCTGGAGAACCAGTACCGAAAATTTTGAGTAGTTCAGAATACCACTTCTGACTGGCCCCACCCCCATCTATTCTCTGCCTCCTAAGTCCCAGCTGATCAGCTGGGTCTTCTTTTGTTGCCCTGCATGGGAGAATGGAGCTGGAAAGCAGGTTAATGGGGTGGGGAGAGAATGGGGATTTTATAGTATCCTTCCCCTGGATTGAGGTGGGAATGAAGATTTTACAGTATTCTTTCCCTGCCACTCCACGTCCACACAACCAGTAGTAAAATTTTTTGAATCCCACCACTGAAGGATATGTCTGCCAAATCTGTCCATTCCCCACCGTCCAATCAGAGTTGGAGAAGCTTCTTGGACGAGAAGCGAAACATCTTCAAAGGAAAACAAGAAAGCCCAGTTGCCTCTTGAAAAAAGCATCTTTGGGATTTCCACAGCTACAGGTTAGAAGAGAAGAGAAGAGAAGAGAAGAGAAGAGAAGAGAAGAGAAGAGAAGAGAAGAGAAGAGAAGAG